CACTGAAATGTTTTATCCCTTAATTATACCCTGAATATTTGGTGTGTCAAGAATCAAAGGTCAAGCATTTCTCTGAGGCTTATCATTATTCCGGTTTTCTCTGGCTGCTCTCGCTCACTGGCCCATTTTTCAACGCACAAGAAAAAACACAAGATGTAATCAGTCTGAAGGATCCAAGTACAGTGTTTTAGTCCATGTTTCAAATCACAAACATAATATTGGAATCAGAATCCATCAGAGTAATGAAGGTAATCCAATACCATAATCAAAACACACAGGCAGATATTCAGTGAACAACGGAACAAATCACAGATACAAACCACTCCGAATGAAATACACATGAGAGCCTTGAACAAAAAGAGCAAGAACAAAAAGAACAGATGGTTTTATATTTGCTGAGCAAAGCAAGGCACATCTGTAACAACACAAATGAGCGAAAGTAGCTTGTGCAGTACATACTGCCTACTGTAATATTTATAGGATGTGAAACAGAAGCATTTTAAACACTCATTACATGGCATGTTTTGATTATAGCCAATAATGAGGCAGAGCAACATGTGTGTAACACCAATCTTTAAACTCAAAGATGACCATTTCTTAGCTTTATACGCTTGAGATCGTATAAGAGAAGCAGAAGTGTTAGTAAATACATTTTTTATTGTTTTGGATTTGTTATTGTCCAAGTGAGATATTGTCTAAGTCCTTTAATGGATTCTTTACCTTCACTCTCAGTGTGTGATGTTTGATTCTCTCTGTCCAGCAGAGATGAGTGGAAGGTGATTCTTCTGCTGTTCTACACATTGTCATGACCTGTCAATCACTGCATCTATTCCCAATCAGGCAGCATTGGGCAACACTTTGAGTTTCTCTGGAAAGTGAAAAAAGTGCACACACGAGATCTATGTGTTTCAGTTGCTAATATATTATTACTCAGTTCCACAGCCAGTGGTGGGTATTGATTTCAAGATTAAGTCAGATCAGTGCATATGAATGAAGTGTGACTACTAGGTTGGATTGATAGTCTTCTATAAACAGTGGTATGTTCTTGAAGCCTGAATGACACATCAAACAACTGCCCTTGTGATACATGCCCTCAAAAAATGTAGCAGTACTTTAATACTGTGCCCTCAAAAAGTATTTGGAAATGAAACTTAAAATGTATGAATGGCACTGATTTGAAACAGGGGCACGACTAGACCTGCCAACATTTCCAGGTTTATTTTACACAGAGATGCACTGTGATATACTGTGACCCATCTAAATTATTCCATGTAAATTAAGCTCTGAACCTTTTTAAAATCTGTTATATTTGCTCAAAATAGGCTGGTACATTTGACTTTTTGATTTATTTTAATCGTTGTTCACTATTATGCATAACAGATGCTCTTTTGGAGTTAATAAAGCATAAATTAATTTTGCTTTATTAACTAATATTGGTGTAAAACAAAGGAAACATCAGAGGCCTTTACAGTATATTATACATAAAATGAAAGTAAAAGTAAAGAAAGAAGGAAGCAAGGAAGGAAGGAAAGAAGGAAAGAAAAAGAAGGAAAGAAAGAAAGAAAGAAAGACTCGCTGATCTTAGCTGAGAACATTAACAGGAAAGTTCTAAACAAAAAAAAACATTAAAATAAAGTAAAAAAAAAAAACTATTAGAATTACTCATTTTAATTATAGAGCTGCATTTCAGTTACACTCATTAAATGCCTGTCTGTAAATAGCAATAGTTTTTAATGTAATTTTTTTTTTAATTCCTTTTTGTCATAAATTGGAAGCAGTTAATTTGGTCACTGTTTTGTTTCATATACTTAATGAATGCACCTAATTAAAACAGTTCTTCTGGTATGTGTGATTTCTAAAATGTTGCTACACATCCCCAAGACGAACTGAATGCAGTAAAGGATAGTTCACACAAAACTGTCATCATTTACTCATTCGCTTTGTTCCAAAACTGTATGAGTTTCTTTCATCTGCTGAACACAAACAAAGATATTTGAAAAATGTTGGTAACTCAACAGTTTTGGTTACCAATGGCTTCCATTATAAACAAAAAAGAATTGAGAAACTTCTTAATATAATAAATATTTAGGCTATAGAGAGAAGTTCAATTTATAGTCCTAAAACCTAGAAGAAAATTAGCATTTTCAAGCCATGGGTTCCCTCCGGAATTTTGTTTTGGGATTTTAGCATAGTTGTTATTTCTTGATGTATAACTAAAATACGGTCTGTGGTTACCATGACTTTGAGACTATCATGGTTTGTTCTACAACAGACGTTACCCACAGTCATACCTCAAACATACATTTTGAAGCAATTGCATGTTTAAAAAAAAATAAAAAATAAAAAATGTTGTCAATAAATTGCTAAATAAGGATTGTGAACAGAAAAGGTACAACTAATAACTAATGTTGTTTAGCGCATTCAGTATGGTAACAGCCCACTTCAAGCACAGGCTATTTTTAGGGCTTCTATTACATGTGCAACATTCAACAAAAAAAGGAGTTTGTCTGTCCTGCTGTATCAAAAAAATTGAATAATGCCTTTTTAATGCAATTGGCAGTGTGATTTGAATTACTGCAGTTCACACATAAAGAAAAAAAAAGAAGGAACAAAAAGATCCAACATATTTTTCAAAAAAGCTGAAAAAAAGATTGCTATGGGGGAAAAACATTGAGGTAGGGCCTAGTGACAGTCCTGCATTATACAACAAAACATCAGACCAAGTAGCAATCATTTTAAACACAGACCTTTTTCAGGTACCGTTTTTCAAGCAAAACATTTTTGGGGAATAAAATATTTTTTGAATTATAAAACAGTATATACAGTATATTGTTGAAAACGTATTGCCCTTTGGCCACTTACACGCTTCAGCTATATTCAGTTGTCAAGTTTTAGAGCTTAAACCTGTTTTCTACACACACAGTTCAGTAATTTACAGAAATTAAAAGCACATTCTAATTAACTCCTGAAAAATTCAGGTAGCGACAACGGCATTTACAATAATTCTACCCAGAGCGTATGGAATTGAACTGCACATGTAAACGCGTATCAGAGATGTGGCGCTCTTCTGTAGGTGCAGTGCAAGAAATCACAGTGAACGAGTTACATGGCTTGAGTCATTCATTTGTGTTGACATAATTGCTAGAAAAAAGAAAAAAAAAAAATCCAAACAAGAACAAGACAACAATAATCCTTAATAAATCCAATTGCTTTATATTGGAAACAGGAGCAGAATATCACTATCCTCCAAAATTACCTGTCCCTTTTAATTCCTGTCCCTATCAATTCCATGCACTGGATCGCTTTATGAGCCAAGCCTAAACAACAAGCCCAAAGACGCTTATAATGAGTGGACATGGCAACAAATCAAACAGCGCTCTGCTGCAGCAGCCATCCAAGCATATAAACTAAACATGACGTCTCTGTCGACAGTGGCTCAGTTAAATTCTAAAAACACACCAGTTGCTCTGAAAGTCATTGCAAAACATGGGTAATAACATTAAAGCTATTTCTTAGAAAATCTTAGAAGTCATTTGTTTGCAGATGCCACTTGGTTTAATGTTTTGCTATATTTAATTAAATGTCATTCATACATTTTAAGTGTGGCTCAAGTACTTTTTTGGGCCACCGTGGTACTATATCATCATCATACACCGTGGTATTTACACAGTACTTCAAAGAACACCATGATATTACCGTGATGGTTTTCCCATGTCATATTATATGGCAAACCCATGGTACTTTTCTGTGAAAAGGTCAGAGGGCAGTTTTTAAGCCAGTTGCCGAGTTGCAGTGAGGCCCGGGGTGTGATTACATTCCCCTCGGAGAGCCGTGTGTGATTAGAGCTCATACCTGACAGCGTCGCAGTAATTTGCTGTCATTTGAGGGGATGATAGGTCTGATTCACTGATAGGTAATGCCATCTGACCAGGATGGACAGAGCACTCTTAATCCATCCGTTCTATACACATCAGACAGGCTTCACATGTTGGAAATGCAAAGCTAATCGAGTAGTAACTCCATGCAGGAAAAAGAAACCCAGAGGGGGAAATTCACTAAAAATCAAAGGAATGTTCCAGGTTCAGTACAAGTTCAACTCAATCTACTCTCATTTTTGACTCATCCCTTCTTTTCTTAAAAAAGGGTTACAATACAACACTTAAAATGGAAATGAGTGGGGCCAGCATAAATAACAGACCACTGTTTCAATAGTAACAGCCACAATATTTAAACAGTGTGTGTGTGTGTGTGTGTGTGTGTGTGTGTGTGTGTGTGTATGTGTGTGTGTGTGTGTGTGTACCGTGTGTGTGTGTGTGTGCGCGTGCGTGCGTGCGTGCGTGCGTGCGTGTGTGTGTGTGTGTGTGTGTGAACTAGGGTTGGGTATTGTTTGAATTGTATCAATTCCAATTCCGATTCTTATCGATTCTCAGTTTTGATTCCAATGTGGTTAAAAAAAAATCAAACATTTAGACATCAAGCATATTTATTCAGTCTCTCTTTTTGCTAAACATTTAGTTGCAGCTGAATAAAATAAATAAATAAATAAAGTTGTATGTAACATTATATTCAAGTTGCTATGACAGCTGACTAAAATGACCATAAAACTGACAAGAACAACTTTACAGCTCAAATAACGAAAAATAACTTTTAACAGAAAAAAAAACTAATGTGACTTCTTAAAATGACAAGTTTCATAAATTATAAGCTTAACATGGAAATGAATGGGCCAGTCCATAAATGTAAAAAAAAAATAGTTTAAATTATAAAATCCACAATATGTAATCACAATGTGCATTAATATGGTTTTAGTGTGGCAAAAATAAAATAAATAATAGCAGCATTATCTATGTAAAATTATACTTCATTTTACAACTATTTTACCTTAAACGACCATAAAACTGGAAAAAAACAACAACTTGACAACTGAAATAATACACAACTTTTTAATAATTATAATAATGTAAGTGATTTTATAAAATTATAAGCTTCACGTTTATGCATTTAAACTTTCTAAAAAGCAGCCACATTCATTTCCATTGTAAGCACCAGCTTCACTGTAGCCTCTTAAAAAAGAAGAAGAAAAAGAGAGACAAAATTATTGGTTAGTGACAGCAGGTTTCAGGTGGTTAGTGAATAAGACTTTTTTTTTTTTTACTGAAATACGGCTTGCAAAAGTGCCACGACTGTTTAGTCGACCCAGTCATTGTTTCCTTGCCTTATTTTCAAGGATGCCTGTGAAAAACAGAGCTTAAAAAAAACTCCCTACAGCGGAAGACAAAATTCCTGGACTTGCTGATGGTGCGCTAGTTCGTTCTCCTGTAGACACCGAGGCAGGGGTTTGAGCTATTGTTGAAATTGTGTTTTATTTTTGTCTTCTCTCGGCCACTTCCATCTTATCCAGCTCCCCAGCCCTCCCACTCCATTTCCGTCGTGCTGGGTGAAAATTGGAATGAAATAAAGATGTGAGCAACGGATGGAGACAAACCAGTGGGTGAAGAGAAAGAGAGAGAGAGAGAGAGAGAGAGGAAAGGGAATGAGATGGAGATGAAAGAGAGGACATGAAAGCAATATGTAGATTCAAAATACAGATCTTTACTCAACTGTTTCACTCCACTCCTAAAAAGCAATAAGATGTCAGGAAAGCCATTATAGGCAGCTTTTTATACCACACTTTGTAAGTGTATTACATTCACGACAAAACGACCTTGTGTTAACTGTGTCTGTGAAAAACTGCCATTAGTATTGAAGCTAAAACACTAAATGATTAAAATCATTTAAATGCAAATTTAATACACAAGCATGAACCCAGTCATTTTATTGCTGGAGGTCGTCGAGTTCTGTATTATTGGTTAGTGGATGTTCACACCGCTTGTGCGTAATGTTATTTGAGGACTGCACAATTGGCTATCAAAGGGCTGAGAATGGAAATACAAATCGATGTCAGAAATTGCCAACTCGGTTGAAAATAAATGACTTCTGGTCATGCAAATCAATTAAAAGGATTAAACTTTGACACCTCTGTGATTTTGAGGGCCGCTCTTAACTCTAAAACTGCATACTTGAAACTAAAACGAGCAACCATGCAGTACGATCCCACATTGCATTACAGTCTTCCAATGAACGTGTCTTTAGAGAAGCACCTGTCTTAACATCAGCTTATGAAAATCAAGGGCATGCATTAGCATGCATATTCAGTGCGACAAAATCAGTGTGGCGGGAAAAAGAGAAGACAAAATCAATGCGAGAAAAATACCCCAATAGCTGGCAAAGGAGGTTTGCACTCAATGTGGCGCATTAAAAATGCATCGCAAGACAGCCCATTAGCCTGTGTTGAAAAGAAATCACACCCTGGCCTTCCTCCAAACCCATTAACTCAGAGGTCTGGTCCACAAGACAGTGTAGTAATTGACTAATAGTTAGAGGTAAATAGCAGGTAAATCATTGGGTCTAGGGATTAGAAATTATGATGGCGCGCTTCGTTCCAACAGGCTGAGGAGGTTTACTAATAAAACTATATTTCTGAGAGTGGTCCCACTAGGAGGTAGTGAGTAATTAATTTTCATCCTCTTCAAATTAATCAACTAAGTCATTACATTTATCAAGCCTTGTTCATTAGATTTACTTTTTTTTTTAGCTGAAAATATTATGGTGTCTGTGCTTCATCCATACAGGAACTGTGAAAATGAGGAGCAGTGTATAATTTAAATTACTTGTTTGTTCCAGCTAGAAACCATGTATAACCATTACTATTACCCTATGCATCTCATTTCTGTGCTATGTCACAGCTACTGTAATTCAACTTTCAGGAAAAATCCAGGCTCTAACAGTCATATGATATGGTTTATGCCAAGTTAGCTCATATTAGTATGATGATTAATTATCATAATCCATCAAACTTTCCCTGAAACTACTGTAGCGCTTTTTATAACATGTTAAGGTAAAGAGGGACAGTAATTAATACAGATTCTCACACAAAATTAAGTGAAATTTTGTAACATGTTTTTTCTTTTTCTTACCATCCAATCATCATTTTAAAAACACGCTAAAGTTTTTATAGGTGATTTATATTATTTATAGTGTCTTGTTTAAGAGGAGCAGTCTCATTTGTCTTGTTTCCATGTATACGCTGAGATCAGCTAGATGTTGAAACTTGATCACGTCCACTATGATGAGCTCAGGAAAATGAAAACATATTCAAAATGGCAAATACTAAAGGCTGGGAATTATTAATGATTGTTACATTTGATGGTTTCCTGGTAGTTCAAGGGCAAGGCTGATCAATCATAAAACACATTTTCCCTGGTTTCTCTTACTAACCAACAAATAATTCTGAAAAAATGGAGGACATCATGCATAGACTCTGTGGTTAGAATATCTGCACCTCCAGTAAGTACAGAACCTCAAAGTAATACAGAATACACATTTGTGATTATGGATATCTAGCTACTTTTCTGATAAATGCTTCAAAACAAAACTCAAGAAAAAAGATACCCAAGGCAAATCCAGTGATTAATTGAATGCATCAAACCAGCACGTTGTAAACATGTCTTTATTTCCAGGTGGATAAATATTAAAAAAAAACAAAAAAAACAAATGCATTTACTCCCAGAAGAAAATCAGCCAATCAGATTGAACCATTGCTATGAGACAATGGATAAGTCTGAGCGAATTACCGAGGTCCGCTTAAGTGAACCTATTCAAACGGGCTCATCGATGATGTGTTACTCGGCCAGAGGAATAATACATCTGCAAATTACATATTGATCATGTGTCAGTCCTAATTTGATTGCTGACTTCTAATGTAATAATGCATTTAATGGCAATATGTTTGGCAGAGTGAGTAAAAGATGCATGTCATCTGCTAGATGTTCTCAATAGATGTGCAGATTAACATAATGAGCTTATTCACAATGTGACAGTATCAGAGCCAAACAGTCTTGAGGACAGCCATTGCATATTGGCACAAACGGACTCATTACGTTGCATGCTCTGTGAAAACGATTATTTGTGAGGTAGGTTGCAGAATAACCCAAACCTAGTGTGTCGGGAAGCACATTGCACTAATGGGCTGTTGCATCATGTAGACATTTGCATTTTGGTATTCTGAAACAAGGTGTGGACCACCACGTTCGCCAATGCAGATGAAAGCAGGAGGCTTGATTATTAGCCCACGCCGCAGCCAGAGAGCAAATCCAAGAGGCTGCCGAGTTATTCCTCAAAGGGAAACCTTATCTACTCTGCTTTCCACTCCACTAAACTCCCCTCTTCCTCCTCATCCGGGCACCACTCTTCTTTTGGCTTGATCCGTGGGGTGATGGTGTAAGGAGGCAGTGCTGCTGGTTGGGTACGGTTGCGCAGCACGGGCCGTGCCACTTTTCTGTTACAGTGATGAACGAGTGTGCCGATCCTCTGATAATTGCTCACTCAGGAGTACAGAGAGGTCCATTAATCAAAATGAGAGTGTTGCTCTGGGCCTAACCTTTCCATGGCACACTTTCACCTGACCACAACGACCCCTGGCAGGCCTGACGGGGCCGCCACAGAGATCCTGACAGCGGCATATCAGGGGCAGGCCCTGGCATCAAATCGACAGACAGCTGTCAAACCGTCACTCCCAAGGTGAGAAGAAAATGATACGTACCGTGTTCACATAGCATGGACAGGCTTGTTTTTCAGTTCTTTAAACGCTGAGAGGTGGGTTGTTGTGACGTGTGAGCGAAAGTGGGTGGTCCAGGAGCGATGAATGGGCCTTTCATGCGTGTGCCGAGGCCCTGATCGATTACTGCAATAATGCACTGGAGCTGTCCGTCTGAAGGGGCTGTGAAATGTTACCATTAGCTGTAAACAAGACACCCGATGCAGAGATTGCTTTGTCTCTGGAGCGTAGTCTATGAGAGTAATCTCATTAAAGCGGCATTCGCTTTGTCCGATAATGAATGCTCTCAGAGCTCGGGCTTTATTCCAACTCAACCCTGAATATGTTTGTTTGTATGCCTTACCTTATGTCTAAGTGCAAAACTTGCCAAGGCCTCTCTCTAGTTTATTGTCCTGCTCTGCTCTTGGAGGGCTATTGTCCTGCAGAGTTTAGCTCCAACCCTAATTAAACACACCTGAACCAGCTCATCAAGGTCTCCAGGATTGCTAGAAACCTCCAGGCAGGTGTGCTGGAGCAGGTTGGCATTAAACTCTGCAGGATGTTGATCCTTTAGGAGCAGGATTGGACACCCCTGACCTATACTGAAAAGACCAATGTAACTACTTACCAGCATATGTTGCATTTTGGGTGTTGGCTGAACACCTTCACCAGTAAAAATGTTGGTACACCATCTAGACTAGCACCACACCCCAACTAGTCTCAAAGTCAAACGTTTTTCCCTTGTGACCAACGTATTTTAACTTTTTTGCTACTAAAGCCCAATTCAAACTTTAATTGTTTCTCATGGGGGGTAAGCAATTTTCAGCATTTTCAGCAAATTACATTTGATTTTATTGCCATCTGAATCCAGAATGCCAGTGTTTTTCTCCCACCACCCACGTAAAAATCCCCAATCATATGATGTTTTTATTTACAGCAGACAATCACACGACTGGCCACGTGAGCAGCATGTTCCCAGGTTCATAGGATTACTGAACTCGCTTCTCCACTGTGAATAAATCGTCATCCGAATCCAAGAGTTTTATCAGTGAGGTGCCATGTAAATTTACTTTTTCAGACGTCCACATGAGAAAAAAATTATGAATAGAGCTTTAGACAGGAGGAGACCTTCTGGTCGGCCAATTTTTGTGTTGGCTTATACAGAGAACAGTGTATCCATTCGAAAGTTATACATCCTTGTTATTTCACAAAAATATTAAAGTATACAAAATGAAATATGCTGTCTTGCTACTACAACAAAGTGCCTCAAACCTTTGCCACTAACCATTGTATTTTATCGACCCATCTTCTTTTAAAATATCTTTAACAAGTTGCCGTTTTCCTCAGTGTATTGATGTACTGCCTGTTGAAAGAGGAAGTTTAGATTAATATAAAACTTTAACATTCCTGTCCCAAAACCAGTTATTGTTACTACAGTAAGACTGTGAGAAATTGTAGTAATGCTCATTTACTCAATGCTGATTGAGTTCTGGTTCTTGGAAGAGATTTTTGTATGCAATGTGCATTGGTCAGTGAATGGACTGTGGGTGGTGTGCCATCTGAAACTAACAAACCAGCTGGGAACAACACTATTTCCATCAGAAACACTCATGCAGTTCTCTCTTTCTGTTTTGAAGCTGTAACTGGACTTGTCGCAAGGAGCTGATGACAGTTTAAAAAACATATTGTGAAAACACAAGGTTGTGGATGCTCTGAGGGATGGTACACCTCCTGCGCTTCCTGTCCCTGCCAGCTGTATTTGCATAAACTCTAAACTTTTACGTCAACAGAAGGCAGATCTTATTAAGCTGCGTAGATCATTCGCTACAAGTAAACAATGCGCTTCACGAACAGGCGTAAAGATTGGAAAAACAGGTAGTGGGTGGACAGGGGGATGTGAATAAAAATTTCAGTAGAAGTACTCCCACAACCTTGACAGAACATGACGTGTTTTTAAGTATGCTAACCACACATTTAAGTGATTCCCGGCCATTAGACAAGACTTGTATAATTAATGAGGAACATTAGAATTATACATTAGACCAGTGGTTGTCAACTGGTTTTGTTTCAGGATGCACAACAACAAAAATCGCCTGTGCACATCAGTGGGACACTTGTGGCTTCACTTCTGTGCGTCAAAGTTTTATCATTCCCATTTGATTTGTATATTATTTATTTGAATTATTAGCATGTACCACTGTTTATCACTGCTGTCGCTATCACAACCCACCAGTTGAAATTGGAGGCTTAGACTATCGCCTCCAACCGATTGAGGCCTCGCTGTACACCATCCACTACCGTCCATAGTTTGCTTTTCATCTGGATTAATCGGACAATCTGCGATTGGCAGCTACTATGCCTGTTATCAGCACTCCACACACGCTCAAACCCAAAGTGTCCTGCCAAAAAGTGTATCAGCTTTGCAGTTCACACATTGGCCTTTAAGACCAAACGCGTGCCTACTGCTCATTGTAATAAAGTCTTGCTGAGTTTAGACAACTTTAGAAGAAATCACTGCCACCCATACTGGTAGCGGTGGGGGGCGGTCTGGGTTCTATCAATTTTCTTGGCTGAGATAAGTTAGCCTCAGAGTCTTTGGGGGGAAAACATTACCTTCTGCTCTCCCAAGCTCAAATTTGGTAGTTTCACTCTGTCAGGATTTCAGACTCTGCAGAGTTTTGTATTCACTCTATCTGCAGTATGATTGGGAAAAAAGGTAGACACCTCAGACACTCATCTTTCTACTGTCACACCACACTGCACTCGCAAATGCGATGACACGGAGTGCGTGAAGTTGCCGCAATTGCCGTGGTAAGGGACACGCTCTGGATATCTGCTTTGTCCTGTCATTCCGTCAGCCAGCCTGAGTCTGTGACTTCTGCCACAAAGCAGAGAGGATTTCCCTTTAAGCACACTTCCTCCCCGCCTCCCCTGCTCTCAAACTGATAGAATGAAGAATAGAAAAGGGAGAAAAAAAATACAAAATTCGAGAGACCACCAGAGATGGACTGCAGAAAACCATTTTCAGTCCCTCTGGAATACCAATGATGGTTTCAGGCGGTATTTCAGGTGCCATAGAGTCGCCATGAATGCTTTGACTATGTTCATTCCCGTCTTGGCTTTATCTCTTCTTGTTGAATGCAGATTCAAAGAAGATGAAGGAAGAAGCAAATTGAACATAAGTTGAAGCATGTGAGGAGAAATGCACATTTTTCACTCACTGTGAATGTGTGAGGTTGGACGCGTGGCCTAGTAGTTTGTGCACATTTCTTGCACGTTAAGCCTTGGTGCTCATGTAAATAATGTGTTTTAATCCACCTCAATGACCAAACATAATAAACACATGAATCCTTACTGGGTTTAACAACATTTACCATATTTTAGACTAGTTTCTGCAGATTGTTTAATAACAACTGTGAAGTTTTATTTATTTATTTATTTATTTTTGCGCTGAATTTATTATTGAATTTCACCATAAACATTATAAGGTAATACATACTTTTTACTTCTTAAAACATACTGTTTTGCAGTATTATGCAGTAAAATCAGTATTATAGAGTAAAATTATTTTTTTTACTCTAAAAACTATATTATAGAGTTTTTTTTCCTAATGTACATTTTCATTGTATAAGGTAACTTACAATTAACCATTTAATGGTTCATATTTCTAAAGTGTATCCAAGCACACAAACAGCATCCAAACTGCTACAGGTGCATCTAAATAAATTAGAATGTCGTGGAAAAGTTCATTTATTTCAGTAATTCAACTCAAATTGTGAAACCCTAGTGAACCAAACTGAGAGACCATTTTGAAGGCTCAGGAAACCTTTGCAGGTGTTTTGAGTTGATTAGCTGATTGGCATGTCACCATATTCTAATTTGTTGAGATAGTTAATTGGTGGGTTTTTGTTAAATGTGAGCCAAAATCATCACAATTAAAAGAACCAAAGACTTAAACTACTTCAGTCTGTGTGCATTGAATTTATTTAATACACGAGTTTCCCAATTTGAGTTGAATTACTGAAATAAATGAAATTTTCCACGAGATTCTAATTTATTGAGATGCACCTGTATATTATAAAAGGTCAAATGCCCTGACAGGCAATGGCAATCATGTGTGAGCAACCTAGGTTCGAATCCATCTTGCATCTTTTCCCGGTCATTTAAAGCCCAAAACACACTGCACAATATTCAGCTGTCCCAGACGAAAGATTGTGAAACAATCGTAGCGTTTTTTTGTGATCGTGGCTCCTAATCAGTGGTCCCGTGTCGTACAGTGAGAGAGGTTGAAAGACGGCCATTGTCACGGTCTTGCGACCAAAGATAGTCTACGATAATTTTCTGACAGGGTCAGAAATACAGCATGATCATCGCATAGTGGGTTTGCTGGTACGATCCACGTTTACTGACCAACCAATAAAAATGTGACATGAAATCAACGCGACATGGCGCTAAAACATAAAACTGCTTACCTCAAGCACTTATGGCTTCCTTTTTCGCTGCTTCCATTTTTTTCAGCACACATAAAAACTACAACTGCAAAAGTCTGATTTATCGTGCTCTTTTTGTTTACCATTAGCGAATGCTGATGACTTTTCATTCTTCTATAGTAATGTGCGTCGCAGCGTACAAGTGAATAGGTGTCATCATCATACAGTCTACATGCATGTCGTAGAGAAAGTTTATTAGATCCATGTCACACAGTGTGATCTGCAATGATCTTATAGGATTGCTAAAATGGTGCAGTGTGTAGAAGGCTTAAGGCCTCAATATACTGTAAAGTAGTGACATACTTTTAAATGGAGATTTTTTTTTTTAGCACGTTCAGATAATCAACTAATTCAGGTGGAGCACTTTCATATACTCAAATTAATTAGCATGATAGTAAATAAATATACAGCCAGCTTACCTCTGTCTTACAACAGTTTTTCAGGCATCCCTCCTCCACCCCAACTTGTTACTCCTAACTATTGTATCCCAGCTTGGGTATATAGGGGAGTTCTCTGGGTTCAGGGCTATATATTCCAAGCTTGGAGCCCTCTCCTCGGACAGCACACCAAATATGCATACTATACACTCAATCTGATTATGTGTAAGTGTGAACTTGTGAAACAAAATCAGGCCAAAACAGAGTTTGTTTGGAGTTTGCTTTAGTAGTTTTAAACATCTTGCCAAAACAATCTGGACAAGTTTGCTCCAGCTGGAAAACACTTCCAGCAGCTATTACATAATAGTAAATACTTAAGTTATACAAAGATGCTACACTCATGTTACTTATTTATGAATGGGAGAAAGTAAAATGCACAATATGGCGGAGGAAGTCCTGCCTTCTAAATAAAACAACCAATGGCTAATTGGCAAAGACATCACATCACCGCAGCAGCTGTTAGAAGCTCCATGAAAACGGTTGTAAAAAGCACATGGCGTCATAGTTGTATCACTTTACAGTGTCACAATGGCCATCTTTTGGCAGTAACTCACCTGTCATAGTTTAATGAGTTTTTAACTCACCTGTCATGGTTTAATGAGTTTTAATGATTATTTTAACATATTATTTTATGATTTCGGACACAATATTTTAACCTAG